AGATATAGGACAGATGTCAGAGGTAGGTTCTTTACTCAGAGAGTAGTGAGGGCGTGGAATGCCCTGCCTGCAAAAATAGTAGACTCGCCCACTTTTAAGGGCATTTAAATGGTCATTGGATAAACATATGGATGATAATGGAATAGTTTAGGTTAGATGGGCTTCAGATTGGTTTCACAGGTCGGCGCAACATCGAGGGCCGAAGGGCCTGTACTGTGCTGTAATGTTCTATGTTCTATCTTCTATGGAGAGGCGGACAGTCAGTCATTTTGCTGTTCATTAAACCTAGGAGAGGCTGTCATAGAGTTATACAGCACAGAAGAAGCCCTTTGGCCCATCAAGTCTGTGCTGACCTATCTGCACTGGGGAGGTGATGGTCTCGTGGTATTATCGCTGGACTGTTAATTCAGAGACCCAGATAACATTCTGGGGACCAGGGTTCGAATCCCGCCATGGCAGATGGTGGAATTTGAATTTAATAAATATCTGGAATTAGGGATCTAATGATGACCGTGAATCCATCTTTGATTGTCAGAAAAACCCATCTGGTTCACTAACGTCCCCTCGGGAAGAAAACTGCCATCCTTACCTGGCCTGGTCTGGCCTACACGTGACTTCCACAACAATGTGGTTGACTCTTAACTGCCCTCTGGGCAATTAGGGATGGGCAATAAATGCTGCCTAGTCAGCGATGCCCTCATCCCATGAATGAATAAAGAAAAAAAACACTAATCCCATTTATCAGCACTAGACCTATAGCCTTAAATGTGATGACATTTCAAATGCTCATCCATGTACATCTTAAAGGTTGTGGGGTTTCCTGCCTCTACTACCCTCCCAGGCACAGCATTCCAAATACCTACCACCCTCTGGGTGAAAAAATTATTTCCTCAAATACCCTCTTGATCTCCTGTCTTCACCATGTGTAGTTCATGAGATGTGATAGCTCAATAGTGATAGTTGCCTTGGTCAAAAGATCCACCACCTTCATTGGCAGCAGACTAGGGACCAAAACCCAAAAGCTTCCTGACTCACTACATGATGGGCAACGTATTTACTGTTGTAACCAACGACCATTTGGGGGTCTTCTTTTCAATAGGCTGAACCAGCTGCAATGCCAGGTCAGCCAGGTATCCAATCAATGGCCCTCTTCATAGCTTCAACATTGGAGGAGTATTCCATTGGTTTATTCTAATGAGATCTTTAACCACACAAAACTCAAGTCCTGTTCGCCATCACCCACTACTCTCTGATCCACATTACCCTCCAATGCACGAAAAGCTCAATTTTAAAATTGTCATTCTCAAGCGATCCATGGCCTTATGCCACTCCCCTCCCCGCATTCCCCTTCACTGCCATCCTCGTCCTCTCCTCTAAAAATTTATACTCTTCAAAGTGCAGCCTCTTTAGTACCTCATACTTCATCCACATCATTGGTTGCTGTGCATTCAGTTATCTAGATCCAAAGCATTGGACTTCTCTCTCTCTCAACCTTTTCATCTTGCTACCCATCTCTCCTTTTATAAGGCTGAAAAGAAAATCTTAAAACCAATCTGTCTGACCTAGCTTTTGACCCCATGTCTGAATGTCCCTTTCTTTGGCTTGGAATCAGTTGTCTTATTCTGTTTTACTGTATTAAAAGGAGCAATGTAAATGCCAGTTGGTGTCATGTGATTTGATAGGCACGGAGATAAAAGTGAGGACTGGGAAAAATAAAAGCGCGCCCCATAGATAAGAATGGATCTTAAGCCACAACAGGCCATTTGGCACATTGTGCTCGTTCTGCCCTTTGGAAGAGGTGTCCAATTAATTTTAGATGAGGCAGACGAGAGTGCGTGGAAGGAAACAGAAGTGGAGAGAGAGATGCACAGAAGTAAAGAAAGAGAAAGAGCTCAGTAAAAGAGAAAGCAAAGATTGAATGAAAGTGGAGAAGTGTCGGGTGAGGATTACTACACGAGGCTAGAGTTAGGATTTGTGGGATTGTGCAGGGTTGGGGAGCACTGCAATGCTATTTACAAAGGTAGGGAATGAGGAGGCCATGGAACAATCTGTAAAAAGATGAAAGGTTTAAAATCTGAAACAATGGGACTAATAGTTAACGTAGCACAACAGGAAAGGGGAGATGGGAGGAATATAATTTGATGAGGGTACGGTTTTGCTGAAACACGGTCAAAGGTAAATGTAAGGGAGAGGTATGGTAGACTGACAACTGTCGAATCATTATATTACCTGGAAAGCCAAAGGCTAAGTAATTGGAATTAAAAATCGCTCTAATTTGACAGTTCATTGTAAATTATTTTAGGCAAGACATTCTTTTTCAAGCACCCTGATGGAAGGGAGTGAGCTTGAAAGTGGTGAAATTGGTAGTGAAGTATACATAAAACGAGTCAAAAGAAAGACAGTAACAAAAAAGGGATACTTTGAAATAAACACAGTGGTCATTCTGCAGCTCCATTTTGAGATACACAAGATAGGTTGGACCACAGTGCATCATTTGCATGTTTACTGATATTTTTCCTTCTGGGTTATCAGTGATCAAGACCATGGGAGTACAGAGACTGTGCTCAAGAGAGTCGACATGACAAAAGGGTTCTGTGGGTGGGAATTCAGACAGACAGAGAAGTTTCAGGAGGGCAGTAAATTTGGAGGGCAGGACAAGGGGAACTGAGATGGAGTCTAAAATCATCAAGGGTGGAGAACTGAAACATGGAAAATAGCAGCAGGAATAGGCCATCCAGCCTTTCGAGCCTGTTTTGTCATTCAGTATGATCATGGCCAATCATCCAACTCAATACCCTGTTTCTGTTTTCTTTGATCCTTCTAGCCCTAAGAACTATATCTAACTCCTTTTTAAAAACATTCAATGTTTTGACATCAACAGCTTTCTGCGGGAGAGAATTCCACAGGTTCGCCACTCTCTGGGTGAAGAAATTTCTCCTCATCTCAGTCCTAAATGGCCTACTCCGTATCCTTAGACTGTGAGCCCTGGTTCTGGATTCCCCGGTCAACAGGAACATTCGTTTTTGCATTCCCCCTGTCTAGTCCGGTTAGAGTTGCTTAAGTTTCTCTAAGATCTCTCTCATTCTTCTAAACTCCAATGAATGCAGTTCTAAATGATCCAGTCTCTCTCCATTAGTCAATCCTGCCATCCCAGGAATCAGTCTGGTAAACCTTTGTTGCACCCCGTCCATAGCTAGAATATCCTTCTTCAGGTAAGGAGACCAGTACTGCACAAAATACAGCAGGTGTGGTCTTACCAAGACACTGTACAATTTTAGCAAGGCACCTCTGCTCCTGTATGTAAATCCTCTTGCAATGAAGGCTAACTTACCATTTGCCTTCTTCGCTGTCTACTGCACCTTAATGCCTGCTTTCAGCAACTAATATACAAGGCACCCAGGTCTCGTCCTACCCCCCGTTTTCCTAATCTATTGATATTCAGATGATACTGTGCCTTTCTTTCTTTGCTATCTAAGTTGATAAACTCACATTTATCCATGTTATATTTCATCGGCCAAGCATTTGCTCATTCACTTAACATGTCACACTGAAGCATCTCAACATCCTCCTCCCAGTTCACCCTCCCACCCAGCTGTGTCGTCTGTAAACTTGGAGATGCTGCATTTAGTTTCCTCATTAAATCATTCGAAATCATACATTGGGAATAGGTGGGGTCCAAGCATTAATTCCTGTGGTACCCCTCCAGTCATTCAGTTCAGTGGAAAGACGGAGAGGAAAAAAATTAGGATCGCTCAGAAACTTTTAGAGTGTGTCTTGGAATTAGGGAAGAGGCTGGCAAACAGTGGTGATGAACAATTTAAAGGAAGAGGAGGAGGTTCATTGCTCAACAGAGGAGAAGATGCCAAAGAAGTAAAGCAGAAGATCATCTGGTGATTAAAGCTACACCAGCATCATAGTGGTTTGGGCAGGGCAACAAGTGGAAAATATAACCATCTTCAATGAAGAGCAAATTGCCATCACTCATGAACGAGGTTACAATCATTTGATTTAGCTGCAGTACTCAATTTTCTATCTTAAAGAATTCATAATAAAACTTACCTTTCCGAACACATAGCCTGCAATTTTCGTCAGTGCATCTGTAACCCTCGATGCATTCACATTGGGCATCTAAGGTTGTTGTGCAGTTTCTCTTATACCTCACTCCTTCTGTAAGAATGCAAGGGTGTGTTAATGCCATATGCTCATAATCTGAGCAAAGTTCTTATGTATAAACTATAACTGAGAATTTTCTGCATGTGGAAGGTTGATAATACCTGGAACACATTATTGGTGAGCAGAATCTTCTAACAAACTTTACAAATTCAATCAGATACAGTGATGTAGCGGCAGTGTCATCATTTGAGTAATTGAGAGACTCAGGAAAATGCTCTCAGGTACTTGGGTTCAAATCCTACCACAGCAGCTGGTGGAATTTAAATTCATTTAATAAACCTGGAATTGAAAGTTGTCCCAGGAATGCTGTCATGAAACTGTCACTGATTGTCAGAAAAACCTATCTGTTCAATAATGGCCCGTAGGGAAGGAAATCTGCTTTCCTTACCTGGTCTGGGCCTGCAGTGACTCCAGACCCACAGCAATGTGACAGGCTGTCAAGTGCCTTCTGAAGTGGCTGAGCAAGCCATTCAACCCAAGGGTGATTACAGATGGGCGACAAATGCTGACCTTGCCAGTGACACATGAAGCTGAAGAGAACATACTCACAAATGGACAAATCTGGAGTGTGGGACTAAATTGGGCTGATCCTTTAAGGAGCTAGCATTGGCATGCAGATGGAAAGGCCTCCTCTGTGCCTTGAAATTTATAATTTTTTGTAATGGTCATCAAAATGCACAGCCAGTCTGACCAATTAGGATATCGATCCAGGCTACAGCAGATGCTATCTTCTCAAGGCAACACCATAGGCTAACTGTGCAGACCCCATCCCACTTCAAGGCGAACTTCAAGGGGTGACTATTTAGGAAGAGGTGACTCATCCTTGAATGTGCCTTCCAGTCTCTCCTGCTTACCCTTGAAGACAGTGGCTCATGATGCCCAGGTCCAGGTACATGGTCGCACCTGCACCTGAGAAAAGCCAGGTCTCCCAGTCGTCACACTCTCCTTCACACACTATCAAACTGAGGCAGTCTCGGTTGATTCGCAACACAAAACAAAAAGTCACTCTTGGCAACAGGATCGCCTGTAAAACTTCAATTCCAGAAGACTCCACTTGAAACTCTCATAAGACTCTAGCTCAGCTGATACAAGGTAAGGTTGTGCCTTAGGCACTTTATTATGCATATTCCAGGGGGACTGCATGCATAATACCAAGAGTTAAAGGTAACCAGTAGCAATGTGATCTTTTTAAATTCATTTAATAGATAGTGCGAAGAATCAAAAACACTTTTAAGTTGGGTCCTGGAGGAAATGGAAGGGACAGAGATTGATTTCAGTAGTAGGAAACTAGTTGGTCAGACAAGTTGGTTAGTTTGATTGATTGATTCAATCTCCTCTAAACTGCTGCTCCAGTTTGATTATTACAATTAGATTTGAAGAACCTTGGTTTCGCAGTGGCACTGCCAGTTTATAAAGAACATCCTTATTCATTCATGTCTGATGAAACCATTCTACATGGAGGGCGACATTTACATTTATATTTTAGGAGGAGTATTGAACTTGTATTTTGTTTGCATCATTACCATCACTGCATTTAGTGCATCCGAAACAAAAATACATATTATTCCAATCCATTGTGTACGATCCATTTTCACATGGCACACAGATAGAGTCTGAGGTGTCTGTACAATCTTCTTTCATAAAGGTGCCTAGAAAATAAATGGAACAATTAATAACAGTGCATCAGGAATCAACTGGAATGATTACCAGTTACTGTAAGGCTATAATAGGATATAAAGCAGACCTTTTCAATGCCTTTAGCTGCATTGAGTAATTATCACCTCTTCAGGGGAGTATTGTTGAGATGATTAATAATGTTCGCACGGCTTTCTTTTGAACACTGGATGTCCAAACATTCATGGGCAGGAAACTCCCCAGCCGTGCTTTTTTACTTGTTGTTGCATTGAGTGAGTAGCTGATTGAAAACTGACAATGCAAAAGAGAACAACTTGTTGATCGAGCCTACCCGCATCATGACTAAACACTTCAGCCCTCCAGTTACACCTCTTCGAAGCCTGTGAGAGGCAAATAATTCCTTTGCCAAGAAACCTCTTCCAGACTTCCAAGAAATCCATGCAGACTATGCTGGAAACTTAAGAACACAGCTGCTGAGAACACAAAAGGTTGTAGTTTGCCATATGGTATTCTCTACAGACTCCAGTCAATCTGGTGTCCTGGTGAGAATCCATTGGTTCCCAAAATGGATACAACGTGCAGCAGTTGTTCCAAAATTGTGCTAATCTGTAATTAACCAGGTAGAATTCAGGACATGAGCCACTTTGCAGCTAGATTATGGTAGTAACTACTCACAACATGGCGGCTCTCTTAAACATTACCTTCTTGCACCAATTATCAATGAACCTTTCAGCATAACAGGGAATGCTGTGATCACACTGTTTTCAGATTCTCAGCTGCAGGATGAGTTGAAAGTTTATGCAATTTGCAGGGACAAATTGGATTGTCCCAGATAATACACATGATATGGCATTTTTCTTTTATAAACACACTATCTTTTAACACCACACTACCTTTTAACACAGAAAACATCTCAAAAAGCCTTGCAGAGAGAAGGGAAATGCATGCAAGTCCAGAGTCAGAGGATTGGAGAATGGAGGAGGAAATTGAAAGCTGAGAAAATTGCTGAGGTGAGATGCATCAAAGAAGAATCAGTAATGAGGACAAGAGCTTAAATCTAATCCATAGGAAACAGAGTGTCGGTTGGTAAAGATGGGTGAGTAAAGCTTACAGCAGGATGGTATGTGAGGGTAATAGTTTGAGACCATTTGAAAGTTGTGGAGGGTAGAAGCTGGGAAAGAGTTGTTGGAAACATGTAAAAGGTCCAAAAGATAATGATGAGTCTTAACTGGGTCTCGTTACCAAACATGTAGACCCTGACTCACCGAGACATTGATGAGTAGGACACCAGGCTGAATCCTTCGGAAACTCCAGAGGGGAAACCACTGCTCAACTGCACTGACCACTTCAGAATACAGGTTATAGTGGAAATGTATGAAGGCAGTCACACTGAGGAGGACTGCAAATGAGAGTTGGTGGTACACGATAGTGTGACACAGGATCCATTCGTGACACTAACTACACAACAGAAACCAAACTACCATGATTCCATAGGATTCTGTAAAAGAGGGGAGCAAGCAGCTAGGAGACTGCAAGATAATTATTAAACTGGAATATTCGAAAGCAGGAACTGAGCTCAGAATGGGAGGTATACAAGACTTCAAGTGCTTTCAAGAGATGAAAGATGTCAGGGATGGGGTGTTAGCTTGTAACAATACAAGTTATTTTGAGAAGGACAGCATGGATGGTGGTTTTGAAAGGGAATCAGCTGAACAGAGCGGACATTTATAAGGTTATCCAGTGCAGGGCCAAGAAGAGAAGCTTGGTCATCAGTGTTTAGGGGGCACCAGGAGAAGGGGTGAGAAGGTAGGACTTAAGGATGATAGGAGTTCAGAAAGACAAGAGGGAAGACAGGTGAGTAATGGAGAGAGAGAGAGAGAGGGGTCGGGGTGGGGGGTGGTGGCGAAGAGAGAAAATGCTGATTCAGGATGAAGGCAGGATTGAGCCTGAGAAGAGTTTTAATTTCATGGGAAAGAGGAAGTTGTGGGGAGGCAAAACAGCAGAACATTTAATCCTTGTCATGGCAACTAGGTCTATAAAGATCCTCACACTTTCCTTTGGAAGGAGCAGGGAACAGAATTTCATGTTACACTTGGTATTGGAGGCAAGGAATTATGTCTGCTTTCCTGGAAGTCCTGATGGCACTGATGGAGATCCAGTCAGAAATGGTAACAGATATTTAAAATAATTGTGTAGCACAATGAAAGCCATGCAGGGAGAATGATGGCTAAGATTAAGGGCATTCAGTGTTCAGGTGAGGGAATGATTGAAACAATATTGCAATAAATTCAACCTTTCAGAGCCAGTAACATACCCGTAGGTGGATAGATGGCTGATCTGGTGCATTTTTCACAGTATTGACTGAATCCTCTGGCTAGAAATACAGAGCTATGGAAAATTCAGCGTCCCACTTGAGTGGGCATACAGGATCTCAGTCTAAGAAGCTATTGTTAACCGCTGATTATTTCTCAGCTACTAGCAGCTTCTCAGTGACATCATCCAAAAACAGGTACGCTCACAAAATCCAGCTTTACTACCTCTCGTGACCCTTTCACTGTTAATTAGATTGTCATTAGATTCTTAACAGATATCCGGTGCTGAACAAAGAGAAACTGCCGTTCAATTAAATTTCAGAAAGATCAAAGCAATTACCATGCCACAGGAGCTGAAGATTTGTTCTGTAGCTACCAACTCCATCCCTTTCAGAGATAGTAGGAACTGCAGATGCTGGAGAATCTGAGATAACAAGGTGTAGAGCTGGATGAACACAGCAGGCCAAGCAGCATCAGAGGAGCAGGAAAGCTGACGTTTCGGGCCTAGACCCTTCTTCAGAAATGCGGGAGGGGAAGGGGGTTCTGAAATAAATAGGGAGAGAGGGGGAGGCAGATAGAAGATGGATAGAGGAGAAGATAAGTGGAGGGGAGACAGACGGGTCAAAGAGGTGGGGATGGAGCCAGTAAAGGTGAGTGTAGGTGGGGAGGTAGGGAGGAGATAGGTCAGTCCAGGGAGAACGGACAGGTCAAGGGGGCGGGATGAGGTTAGTAGGTAGGAGATGGGGGTGGGGCTTGAGGTGGGAGGAGGGGATAGGTGGGAGGAAGGACAGGTTAGGGAGGCGGGGACGAGCTGGGCTGGTTTTGGGATGCAGTAGGGGAAGGGGAGATTTTGAAGCTTGTGAAATCCACATTGATACCATTGGGCTGCAGGGTTCCCAAGCGGAATACGAGTTGCTGTTCCTGCAACCTTAGGGTAACATCGTTGTGGCACTGCAGGAGGCCCAGGACGGACATGTCGTCTGAGGAATGGGAGGGGGAGTTGAAATGGTTCGCGACTGGGAGGTGCAGTTGTTTAGTGCGAACCAAGCGTAGGTGTTCTGCAAAGTGGTCCCCAAGCCTCCGCCTGGTTTCCCCAATGTAGAGGCCACAACGGGAACAGACGATGCAGTATTCCACATTGTCAGATGTGCAGGTGAACATCTGCTTGATGTGGAAAGTCTTCTTGGGGCCTGGGATGGGGGTGAGGGGGGAGGTGTAGGGGCAGATGTAGCACTTCCTGCAGTTGCAGGGAAAAGTGCCGGGTGTGGTGGGGCTGGAGGGGAGTGTGGAGCGGACAAGGGAGTCACGGAGAGACTGGTCCCTCCGGAAAGCAGATAAGGGTGGGGAAGGAAAAATGTCTTTGGTGGTGGGGTCGGATTGCAGATTGCGGAAGTGTCGGACGATGATGTGTTGGATCCGGAGGTTTGCGGGGTGGTACGTGAGGACGAGGGGGATTCTGTTTTGGTTGTTATTGCGGGGCGGGGATGTGAGGGATGAGTTGTGGGAAATGCGGGAGACACGGTCGAGGGCGTTCTCGACCACTGAGGAGGGGAAGTTGCGGTCCTGGAAAAACGAGGACATCTGAGATGTACGGGAGTGGAATGCCTCATCCTGGGAGCAGATGCGGCGGAGGCGAAGAAATTGGGAATAGGGGATGGCATTTTTGCAGGAAGGTGGGTGGGAGGAGGTGTATTCTAGGTAGCTGTGGGAGTCGGTGGGCTTGAAATGGATATCGGTTTCTAGGTGGTTGCCAGAGATGGAGACACAGAGGTCCATGAAGGAGAGAGAGGTATTAGAGATGGTCCAGGTGAACTTAAGGTTGGGGTAGAAAGTGTTGGTGAAGTGGATGAATTGTTCGAGCTCCTTGTGGGAACACGATGCGGTGCCGATACAGTCATCAATGTAACGGAGGAAGAAGTGGGGTTTAGGGCCAGTGTAGGTACGGAAGAGGGATTGTTCCACGTAACCTACAAAGAGGCAGGCATAGCTTGGGCCCATGCGGGTACTCATGGCCACCCCCTTTGTCTGTAGGAAGTGGGAGGAATTGAAAGAGAAGTTGTTGAGGGTGAGGACGAGTTCGGCTAAGCGGATGAGGGTGTCAGTGGAAGGGGACTGGTTGGGCCTGTGGGACAGGAAGAAGCGGAGGGCCTTTAGGCCATCTGTATGGGGAATGCTGAAACATATGCCCCACCACACCCGGCACTTTTCCCTGCAACCGCAGGAAGTGCTACACCTGCCCCTACACCTCCCCCCTCACCTCCCCCCTCACCTCCAGCCCAGGCCCCAAGAAGACTTTCCACATCAAGCAGATGTTCACCTGCACATCTACTAATGTGGTATACTGCATCCGCTGTTCCCATTGTGGCCTCCACTACATCTGGGAAACCAAGGTGAGGCTTGGGGACCGCTTTGCAGAACACCTACGCTCGGTTCGCACTAAACAACTGCACCTCCCAGTCGTGAATGATTTCAACTCTCCCTCCCACTCCTCAGATGACATGTCCTTCCTGGGCCTCCTGCAGTGCCACAACGATGCTACCCGAAGGTTGCAGGAACAGCAACTCATATTCCGCTTGGGAACCCTGCAGCCCAATGGTATCAATGTGGATTTCACAAGCTTCAAAATCTCCCCTTCCCCTACCACATCCCAAAACCAGCCCAGCTCGTCCCCGCCTCCCTAACCTGTCCTTCCTCCCACCTATCCCCTCCTCCCACCTCAAGCCCCAACCCCATCTCCTACCTACTAACCTCATCCCGCCCCCTTGACCTGTCCGTTCTCCCTGGACTGACCTATCTCCTCCCTACCTCCCCACCTACACTCACCTTACTGGCTCCATCCCCGCCTCTTTGACCCGTCTGTCTCCTCTCCACCTATCTTCTCCTCTATCCATCTTCTATCCGCCTCCCCCTCTCTGCCTATTTATTTCAGAACCCCCTTACCCTCCCCCATTTCTGAAGAAGGGTCTAGGCCTGAAATGTCAGCTTTCCTGCTCCTCTGATGCTGTTTGGTCTGCTGTGTTCATCCAGCTCTACACCTTGTTAACTCCATCCCTTTCTCTGGTGTCTGACTGAAGCTAAATCAGACTTATGCAAACTTTGAATCTCAATTAAGTCCGAAATGAGTGTTTGACCGTACATCTGTGATGTCACCATTCCCACCTCCACAACAGCATCCACTGCCACCTCTCAGTCAACTGGTCTTCTGCTGAAACCTCATCCATGCCTGTTACCTCCAGATTTGACTATTCAAACACACTCTATAAACCGGAGGTCATTCAAGATTCAGCTGCCCATGACTGCCTGTGACTATTCACATATTACCCCCCTGTTTGCTCGTCAACACTGGCTCTCAGTTAAGCAGCAGCTTAATTTTAACATTTGCAGCCTCGTTTTCAAATTCATCTGAAGCCATGCCCTTCCATACTTCTTCCTCTCCTCCAGCTCCACAATCCTGTGAAATCTCTACATTACTGTAATTCTGACATTTTGAAGATCTCGGATTTGAATTTTGCCACTTGGTGGTCATGTCTTCAGCTGCCTAAGCCCTAAACTCTGGAATTGCCTTTCTAGTCTCCTTTGCAATGCCATTCTTTTTGCTTCCTTTAAGATGCTTCTGAAAGCCTATGACTCCAACCAGATTTCTGGACATCTGCCCAAATATTGACTTTTTTTATGAATTCAAGGGTTGTGGGTATCATTGGCAAGATCAGACCTTATTGCCCATCCCTAATTGTCCTTGAGAAGGTGGTGATGAGCTGCCTCCTTGAACAGCTTCAGTCTTTGGAGTGTAAGAACATTCACAACGCTGTTAAGCGGAGAGTTGCTGAATTTTGACCCAGCGATAATAAACGAATAACTGTGGACGTTGTCCTGCTTGGAGGGGAGCTTATTGTCGTGGCATTATCATGGATCTGTTGCCTTTGTCTTTTGAGATGGTACAGGTACAGGCTGTCAAATGAGGCTTGCTGAGTCACTGCAGGTGCATCTTATAGACGGTACACACTACTGCCAATGTGTATCAGTAATAAAGGCAACAATAGTTGAAAATGGTAGATGAGGTGCCAGTCAAGGGGATTACTTTGTCCTGAATGGGGTCAAGCTTTTTGAGTGTTGGTGGAGCTGCTCTCATCCAAGTAAGTGGAGAGAATTCTATCACACTCCTGATGTGTGCAGCGTAGACTATGAATAGGCATTGGGAAATGAGTTACTTGCTACAAGATTCCTAGCCTTTGACCTGCTCTTTTTCTTGTATCCACAGTCTTTATGTGGCTAGTCCAGTTCAGTCCCCTGTCCAAGGGAATGCCCAGAATGTTGGGAGTCGGGTGGGGGGGGAGAAGGGGGCATTTGGTTCAATGCCATTGAAATCAAGGAGCGATGGTTAAAATCTTGCTTGTTGGAGATGGTCATTGCCTGGCAGTTATATGGTGCCAGTCAGTCCATGCCTGGTTTTACTGCATATGGTTACAGACTGCTTCAGGATCTGAGAAGTCACAAATGGTGCTGAATGCGTGCAATCATCAACAAAAATTCCTGGTTGTAAGTGAGGGAAGGTCATTTGTGAAGCAGCTGAAGATGGTCAGACCATGCACACAACCCTGAGGAACTCCTAAAGAGATGTCCTTGGACTGTGATGATTAACCTCCAACGTTAACAACCAAGTTTCTTTGTTCTAGGCATGACTCAAAACAGTAGAGAGATTTCCTCTGACTCCCACCGACTCCAGTTTTGCTCGGGCCCCTGGATGCCACACTCGGTTAATGCTGCCTTGATGTCTAAGGCACTCACTCTCACCTCAGTTCTGGAATTCAGCTTCTTTTGTCCATGTTTGGAACAAGACCGTAATGAAGTCATTGTGCAGGTTATTCCTTCTCAGGTGTTGCTTGATCATATTATTGACGACATATTCCAGCACTTTGTGACGATCAAGAGTAGGCTTATGGTGCAGTATTTGCTTGAGTTGCACCCTTCCTGTTTTTTGTGTACAGGCCATACCGGGGCAATTTTCCGTATTGCCAAGTAGATGTACTATTGTAACCTGACTGGAACAGCTTTGCTGGGTGTGCAGCTAATTCTGGAGCACAAGTCCTCAGTGCTATTGCTCGAATATTGTCAGGGGCCATAGCCTTTGTAGTATCTACTGCCTTGATTTGGCATGGAGTGAAGTGAACTGACTGAAGACTAATGCTGGGGACCTCAGGAGGAGGCTGAGATGAATGATCCACTTTGCATCCACGGCTGAAGCTGTATGTAAATGTTTCAGCCTTGCCGTTTGCACTGATGTGTTGGATTGCAGCATCACTGAGGATGGGGATATTTGTAGAGCCTCCCAACTCCCCATAGTTGTTTAAGACAGCAAGTAGTCCTGCATGGTAGCTTTATCAAACAGAAACCTCATTTTTAGGTATGCCTGGTGATGCTTCAAGCATACCCTCTTGCTCTCTTCAAAGCAATCTTTTATCTCCTGGCTTCACAGCAATGGTTAAGTAAGGGATATGCCAAACCACGTGGCTTGGCATCATTTTTGTTTTGCTTTGCAATGCCCCTGTGAAGTACCTGGAGATGGATCACGCTTTAAGTTTTTCTTGTGGTCGTCCCATCAACTTCCATGCCTAGCCAAAAGAGTGTCTGGATCATATTCACGCCCCAAACCCTCCGACATCGGGAGATAATGTGGTCTGTGATATTTCTCCACACAGTTAAAGGTAAATAAAAGCAAACAGCAAAAGTAAACATCATTTTCAGTGTCTAGATCATATTCACGCCCCACATTTCGAGTGTCGAGATCACATTCACGCCCCAAACCCTCTGACATCGGGAGATAATGTGGTCTGTGATATTTCTGCACACAGTTAAAGGTAAATAAAAGCAAACAGCAAAAGTAAACATCATTTTCAGTCACAAACAAAAACAGCAATTGCTGGAAAAGCTCAGCAGGTCTGGCAGCATCTGTGGAGAAAAATCAGAGTTAACATTTCCGGTCCAGTGCCCCTTCCTCAGATCATTTTCAGACAATTATTTTCAGAACAATTATGTTTTGACATACTGCGGTACGTTTCAAATACTGAAGGTAATGCTGTTTTTGAAAACCACCTTAATACCATTAAATCACTTAATTATTGATTTTAAATTATATCACATTTTAATATATTTTTAATACTCGACAACCTACCACTTTTTTAGTGGAAGTGTGTGACACTATTTTAAATAAACTGCAAATTAAATTTTTATAACTGGCTGCTGATAAATTTGGAAGACGAGATAGTAGGAACTGCAGATGCTGGAGAATCTGAGACAACAAGGTGCAGAGCTGGATGAACACAGCAGGCCAAGCAGCATCGTAGGAGCAGGAAGACGACTCTCGGAGATTCCTTCGTTCGCTACGTTTGCCAATGGATAATATATTGCAACAGGGACCCGGGATACAATTCCGCATCACTCTTGCAGAATAAATTAAAACAGAAATTGCTGGAGAAACTCAACAGGTCTGGCCACATCTGTGCAGAGAAAACAGAGTTAACGTTTCGAGTCCAATGAAGAAGGGTCATTGGACTCGAAAAGTTAACTCTGTTTTCTCCCCACAAATGCATCCAGACCTGCTGAGTTTCTCCAGCAATTTCTGTTTGTTTGTGTGCGTTTCAGATCTCCAGCAAGTGCAGTTTGTTTTATTATTTATATGATTGCAGAATGATCATACCGCCTCCAACTTATCCTTTTCTCTCTCAGACTGGGCTTATAAAGTTTCTTCCTCACCTGGCGGACACTTGGAGCAGCAGGTAGACTTCCAAACCCCGGTCACTTTGACAAACTCTGCGGGGCACCCATGGGAGACGGCTACAGAGCGTGCAGCAGACGCACAGAGTAACATAAGGGCTGGGAGCAGCTCCATTCGCAAGACTTAGCAACCCAGAACCTGCATCAAAACTGTTGGAAATAGCGGCTTCTTCCTCCCTTTAAAAGCAACGATGTAGGCGTGACTCAACCCCTGACCTTCAGCTAGACACGCATCCCTCCCCCAACTCCTTCGAGCAGCATCGGCGTGAGTCGCTGAGGCCATTCTGTTACGCGTAGTCTAACCCAGATCCAAGTGTGATTACGATGATTTTTTTTTATTTCGTGTGGGAGACAACATCAGCAGGACCCTTACCTCTGAGTCAGAAGATTTTGGCATCGGGTTTATCCTCCAGAATGTTGATAATATGGTCAGATTTAATACTTCCGTCCTGGTCCTGTGGGGTTGCTGTATTGTTTCATACTTGTTTTTGGACGAAAGGTTGATCAGAGGTTAGATGTCAATAGCATTCGTCAACGCTCAGGTTTTCCCCCCTGGTGCCCTGGCCAATGTTCCGCTCTCGGCCAGTATCATTGAAACTAATTATCTGGTCATCAACACGAGGCTGGCCGTGGGATCTTGATTGATGTAGATTAGCTACCATAATTCCAGCATCACAGCGGTGACTACATTTCAAATGTTGTTCCATAGTACTTCAAATGCAATGCAGTACTGATAAGATAAATTGCGTTTGTGATGTTGATTGGGGAATAAGTATGACCAGTGCACTCGGGATGGCCTTACCACCTCCCCTTTGTAATAACGCCATGGGATTATTCATGTACACATGGAGTGGAAATAGGAGGTTGTTTCAACATATGACATAAGTTAGTTGCTGTTTGGCTTTGTGTCCTGCGTTCAGTGAAGGAATGAATTAAAACCCTAGTTCTAGGAGCCCAACATAGAGAACGTATTGAAGTATGAGGCTGAAGCTAACTCATTTAATTAAACCCATAACAACACACTGATAGAAACACATTCCTCTTAGGCGACACTGAAGTCGCGACCACCCTCACCGCTACTGCCGCCGCCTACCCCGCTCCTCCTACCTCCGACGCCGGTCCGCCCATCACCGACGCGGACGCAACTCCACCCACCGCCGGCGCAACTCCGCCCACCGCCGACACCGGCACAACTCCGCCCACCGCCGACAACGCTCCGCCCACCGCCGACGCAGCTCCGCCCACAGCCGACGCCGACACAGCTCCGCCCACAGCCGACACCGACACAGCTCCGCCCACCACCTCCACAGCCAGCAGCTCCAGAGGAGACAGCAGCACCCAGCCCTGCCGAGTCTTCACCATCCCCCCAGACCTACCCCTTACTGAGGACGAACGGTCAGTCCTCAGTACAGGGCTCACCTTTGTCCCCCTCCACCCACAGATCAACGAATACCGCTCACGCTTGGACATAGAGCAGTTTTTCCGCCGCCTCCGCCTCCACGCTTACTTCTTCAACCGTGAACCTAACCCTCCCTCTACTGACCCCTTCTCCCGCTTCCAACACACCCCCTCCTCCTGGACACCACCCCAAGGCCTCCTACCCTCCCTCGACCTCTTCATCTCCAACTGCCGTCGAGACATCAATCGCCTCAACCTCTCCACCCCTCTCACCCACTCCAACCTCTCCCCCGCAGAACGTGCAGCCCTCCACTCCCTCCACTCCAATCCCAACCTCACAATAAAACCCGCGGACAAGGGAAGCGCAGTTGTAGTATGGCGCACTGACCTCTACATCGCCGAGGCCGGACGCCAACTCTCCGACACCTCCTCCTACCGCCCCCTTGATCATGACCCCACCCCTGAGCACCAAACCATCATCTCGCAAACCATCCACAACCTCATCACCTCAGGTGACCTCCCACCCACGGCCTCCAACCTCATCGTTCCCCAACCTCGCACTGCCCGCTTCTATCTCCTTCCCAAAATCCACAAACCTGAATGCCCTGGTCGACCCATTGTCTCCGCCTGCTCCTGCCCCACCGAACTGATCTCCAACTATCTCGACTCCATTTTCTCCCCCTTGGTCCAGGAACTCCCTACCTATGTCCGTGACACCACCCACGCCCTCCACCTCCTCCAGAACTTCCAATTCCCCGGTCCCCAACACCTCATCTTTACCATGGACGTCCAGTCCCTCTACACCTGCATTCCCCATGCAGATGGCCTTAAGGCCCTCCGCTTCTTCCTGTCCCGCAGGCCCGACCAGTCCCCCTCCACTGACACCCTCATCCGCTTAGCCGAACTCGTCCTCACACTCAACAACTTCTCTTTCAATTCCTCCCACTTCCTACAGACAAAGGGGGTAGCCATGGGTACCCGCATGGGCCCAAACTACGCCTGCCTCTTTGTAGGTTACGTGGAACAATCCCTCTTCCGTACCTACACCGGCCCTAAACCCCACCTCTTCCTCCGTTACATTGATGACTGTATCGGTGCCGCCTCGTGCTCCCACGAGGAGCTCGAACAGTTCATACACTTCACTAACACCTTCCACCCCAACCTTAAATTTACCTGGACCATCTCTAACACCTCTCTCCCCTTCCTGGACCTCTCTGTCTCCATATCGGGCAACCACCTCGAAACCGATATTCATTTCAAGCCCACCGACTCCCACAGCTACCTAGAATACTCCTCCTCCCACCCACCTTCCTGCAAAAATGCTATCCCCTATTCCCAATTCCTTCGCCTCCGCCGCATCTGCTCCCAGGATGAGGCATTCCACTCCCGTACATCTCAGTTGTCCTCGTTTTTCAAGGACCGTAACTTCCCCTCCTCGGTGGTCGAGAACGCCCTCAACCGTGTCTCCCACATCTCCCGCACCTCATCCCTCACACCCCGTCCACGCAATAAAAACCAAAAAAGAATCCCCCTCGTCCTCACGTACCACCCCACCAACCTCCGGATCCAACGCATAATCCTCCGACACTTCCGCCATCTGCAATCCGACCCCACCACCAAAGACATCTTTCCCTCCCCACCTTTATCTGCTTTCCGGAGGGACAACTCTCTCCGTGACTCCCTCGTCCGCTCCACACTCCCCTCCAGCTCCACCACACCCGGCACTTTTCCCTGCAACCGCAGGAAGTGCTACACCTGCCCCCATACCTCCTCCCTCACCCCCATCCCAGGCCCCAAGAAGACTTTCCACATCAAGCAGATGTTCACCTGCACATCTGCCAATGTGGTATACTGCATCCGCTGTACCCGGTGTGGCTTCCTCTACATCGGGGAAACCAAGCGGAGACTCGGGGACCGCTTTGCAGAACACTTACGCTCGGTTCGCAACAAACAACTGCACCTCCCAGTCGCGAACCATTTCAACTCCCCCTCCCATTCCTCAGACGACATGTCCATCCTGGGCCTCCTGCAGTGCCACAACGATGCCACCCGAAGGTTGCAGGAACAGCAACTCATATTCCGCTTGGGAACCCTGCAGCCCAATGGTATCAATGTGGATTTCACAAGTTTCAAAATCTCCCCTCCCCCCACCGCATCCCAAAACCAGTCCAACTCGTCCCTGCCTCCCTAACCTGTTCTTCCTCCCACCTATCCCCTCCTCCCACCCCAAGCTGCACCTCCATCTCCTACCGACCAACCTCATCCCACCCCCTTGACCTGTCCGTCCTCCCTGGACTGACCTATCCCCTTCCTAACTCCCTACCTACACTCACCTTTCCTGGCCCCATCCCCGCCTCTTCAACCTGTTTGTTTCCTCTCCACCTATCCTCTCCTCTATCCCTCTTCTATCCGCCTCCCACTCTCTCCCTATTTATTTCAGAACCCCCTTCCCCTCCCCCTTTTCTGATGAAGGGTCTAGGCCCGAAACGTCAGCCTCTCTGCTCCTATGATGCTGCTTGGCCTGCTGTGTTCATCCAGCCCTGCACCTTGTTGTCTCGGATTCTCCAGCATCTGCAGTTCCTACTATCTCTTCTTCCTCTTAAGGACCGATAGTTTGATGGATGCAATCAGTGAGCTGGGGCGGTTAAATCTATCCTAAGAGCTCAGACCAATGGCTGGTGGTGTTGGAATATGCTTTAGGCTCTAACTTATTGGACCAGAAGTAGACCATTCAGCCCATTGAGTCTGTTTCACTGAAGAAGGTCTGGAAAGATACGTAGTGGTATTTTTGCTGAGGTTCATTCAAGCATGAATGTAACACCTGACTCATTGCTTTCTGCGCTCCCAGCAGTGCAAACTGAGATAAATATCAACTGCTACTGCAGGAGCATCAACTCAGTGAAATATATCCCTTTGTTGTACCTGAAACCTGCTGTTCTTTCAGTGCAAAGAGCTGTTCACAACCGAAGGTTGCAGACTGGAACTTACCAAGGTCTACGATAGATACTCACTACAGTGCTGCAGTGGGGAAAGGCAGTCGTTTAAGGACATCCCAAAATATTATACCAAGGAGGTACAACTGTACAGGAAACTGTATGAAAATCTTTGGCCTATGAAATGTAAATTGTAATCTGACTTGTTAGTGTGTACCTCAAAGTGCTGCCTATAGCTCTGAAAGAAATTGAACTGTATCAGGTTTTATGTAATGTCAAATGGCAACTGTTACATAGTGTACTTTTGCATACTATATTTTTGAATAGCAAATAATCACTTTTTTACTTTCTTGGCTCAGGACTACATGTTCTTTGATTCCAAGCTAGATTGTTGATCTTTGGTGAGCAGATTGATTGGATGAGTAACCACAAAACCAGTTTGATTGTAGAATATTCCAGAAGGTCAAGGTGAGAACTGTCGAAAAGACACCAGCTTTGTAAAGGCAGTGCCCAAAGTAGCAACAAGTCAAACAGCCTAGAAGGCCCCAGGTTTATGTTCTGGCTGATCTCAGCGGGGACAAGAGAGTTGCAATTGGTCTCCATCTTTCCAACTCGAGAATAAAGCTTGTTTTATCCACTCAATTGATTTGGGTCTTGAGTCACTTTCATGATTGGCAGCAATATTCTGTCAAGAGTTCCAGGATATGGTTAACACCCAAGCAACATATGCCTGCAAAACCTCCTTAGCTAGGTTTATGGCAGTCTTCATGGCACAAAATCCCCCAAAGACTACACTCTCTGATCCCATTAAAATGGACTGATTGTGTTTGGCAAAAGTAAAGCTGCAACAGTAGTCTTGTCTGTACTCCCCGTCCTTAGG